AAGGGAGGGGGGGGGGGGGGGGGGGGGGGGTCGGGGTTCCATGCACTGTTCGAAAGCACAGGTGCGGAGCGGCGAAGTGCTCAAAACTACCAGAGTAAACTGCGCCGTGCTTCAGCAAGTATCGGCACAGACATACCCGCTGAAAGGGCACACCAAAATGACACTCCGAGCTTCAAGGGCGCGATATCATTCAAAAGCATGGTGTACCGCATAAAAGCACAAGCCTATTGCCGGGGGGTGTACTACTAAGATGGCACTTCCCCTCATAAATGGACACGTCTTGTGCGAAAAAAAACACGAGTGTCCTTAGGGCGGGGGCGTCTGTGGACGAAAAGCCGCGACGCACACAGACGGGAGTAGAGGTAGAGCCGGCGTGTGAAGATTGAGACAGTCGGAAACAGTTGCCGCTCGCGGTAAAGGAAACAACCAAGGTTAAACCGGCGCATGTTTTAAAAAAAATGTTGAACTTGTACCGAGCACATTATCAAATTCTGGGCGGGCATACCTACATACATCAACAGCGTGCTTGCTTGATATCTCACCGCTCGATCGCAGCGCCCGCGCTTCTCGCCGCGGTGCCCCCCACCCCCTCCCGCCCTCTACCGGGCCCCCGGCCTTCCTCCTCGGCCAGGTTGAGCCGCAAGACGACGGCCGTGCTTCGCACCGCCATCTCATCGCCGTTCGGCAAGGCGCGCGTCTCCAGCGGCAGGCTCAGGCTCCACAAGCGGTGTCGCTTGAGGCAACAGAGACCGTTGGTTTCTGTCGTTTCGATCGGCCGTTGGTACGAACGTCGTTGATACGCGCGCGCGCGGGGGGGGGGTTGTGTTTCACTGCATTAGTTTGTGCTTGTTTCCAAGGATCGGGAGAAGCGAGCAAGCGATTTAGCGTGTGTGGTGTCGGTTATTGTCGTGTCTTAGGGGTGCGTCTTCCATGGCATATGCTAAACCATGCCCCAGAAGGCAGGCATATACCACCCGTGACGACGGCCTGTTCCCGCTGCGTCTTGATTTCACTTTTTTTTAAATTATTCTGCCCGTAGAGAGAGAAAGGAAGAAAAAAAAAAACGGGCCGCCGGATGATGTTTGCGCTGACATCAGCACTTTCTCCGTGCACGAACGCTCCATCGAGTTGGCGGCGACGACAGAGGAAACCAACAAAGCAACAGCGGCAACGACGACGACGACGAGACACACAACATGGTAAAGAAACAAGTGTTCGGGGCAACGCGCTACAGCCGAACCCGTCCCCGAGCATCGTTCGATAAACGAAACGCACCTCTTGCTGCTGGTCTCTCGCCCTCTGCTGCAGCCCCGAGCCCTCGGGTCTCGACCACATACATAGCGCCGTCTGTCAAGAGTATCCAGTGCGCCGCTGTCGCTGGCGCCTTGGGAACGCCTGCTGCGTTCAGGGGAGACAGGGTGGTTGCGTTGTCGCGTTGGTTCAAAGGAGAGATAGGCCATAGAAGTAGACAGAAAGAGAGAGAGA